CGCCCGCTAATCAATACATCTTATTTTTTTAGGCTAACTTAGATTTAAGTTAATCGTTTTGCCGCAGTTGAACAATTCATCTCCAGATATTCCTTACCCCCGCCTCTACTTCCCCTCGCCATAGCACTCACGCATCAAGGAAGATGACCCCACGTGATCCCAGAAGAAAGAGTCATCCTTCGAGCGAGTCCTCCGTGTCGAAACAAGGAAAAGGACAGACAATCACGAATACCCCGATTAACACTGATTATCGCCGGAATCGGGAGGAAGAGGTGAGGATGATTGGAAGAAATCGCTCGCGCCACAGCTGCCCCACGCGTCACTGCCCTATAAAGTAAGAGAGTTGCCCGGAAGTGATCCTGTGAAGAGTTACCCCGAAGAGACTTGCGAAAAGACACTGAAAACGTGTAAAGAGTTAAAATGTGAGGAAAGGACCTAGAGTGTGGAAGAGAAAAGGAGTAAAAATTTATTGTGAAAGGAGTAAAGGGTATTGTGGAGGATTGTCCTGTGTGAGAGGAACAATTGGAAAGATCGTGAGGAGGAGAACTATTGTGGAGAGGATACACGGAGAGAGCGCAGAGACAGCGAAGGAAGGAAGGAGGCAAAAGTCCAGAGGGAACCGAGAGAATTCTGAGGACACCATTCTCCATCAGTCCTTCATTTTTTTTTCCCTTCCCCAACGAATTTCCCTGCCCCATATTACATTCCCCCTAAAAGCGAGACTCCTGTAAACGCATTTTAGTTATAAATTAACCCCCCTATTAATTCTTACTTTTCCGGTCGGCCCCTCTCACTTCCTCCCTTTTTCCAGAATTAGAGGTAGTCCTTCTTTTTTATTATATTATTTCGCGTTGCCGCAAGTGAGATGGCCTTACCGTCCCCCCCCCCCCCACTCTAGAGTCAATTAGTCAATAGTCACAATTGTTGCGGTTATGGGGTATAATAAACCCCTTTAGTCCTGGTTCGTTAGAAACCCTGTACTCCTCTGGGATGACTGGGTAGGGAGACAATAAAAAAAGGAAAGACGGTTATCTTGTAGTGGGATCAGTTTGGATGGGACTGAATACTGAGGTATACAATGGTTATTCTTCGCGGAAGGAAAATCGTCCCGTAAATTATAAGAATCGCACTCTTGACGAATTCCTTTTAGTTAATTTTTATTAAAAACGCATTAATCCACTTGAGAGAAAATCTGAAATAAAAACCGGGGAATTAGTGTGAGTGAAAAGAATAGTGTGTTAGTGTAGTGCGTGCATTCTATTTGACTTACGGTGATTGTTGGTTGGACTAAATGGGGTGAGAAAACGAGTGTGATCACTCTGGAGGCTTGACGAGGCGGGTCGTTGCAGGCTCAGGCCATGGTTGGAGAGACGGGGCTGCCGGAGGAGCTTGCGGCCGTGCGAACACTGTTGCTGGTCGGCCGCAGAACTGGTCTGAACTGGATTTGCACTGAGTTGGTGGTCAGGATGCACTTGTACACTTGCACAAAGCTTGTCTTCGAGAACTGGCAATAGCGGGTTGACTCTGAGACGCCTTGACTGGAGAACTGGTACAGAAGTAGATTTGCCGTCAGGAATTAGGTATCGGCAAATTGACCCAGAGACGTCTTGGTTGAAGAACTGGTACAGAAGTAGATT